TCACTGGTTTGCCAACCCATCAGATGCTAAAAGGCCGGGGGTGGGCGGGATGCTGATTTGGGAAACTAGGAATGATCGTTTTTTACAAGAAGAAGGTCTGAACTCCAGCCGGGCCGGAGGGAGCGGCTGCGAGCAGGCCTGCTCCTCGGAACCGGAACCGCGGCGGAAGGTCGGGGCTCCGCGCGGCCCTGGTCCAGGGGCAGCTCACCCGAGGACCTTCCGAGTGGACTGGATCCGATGTCGGACAGAGCTGCCGCCCTGAGAGAGAACCCTCTCCCTGGGGACCTCTGTGGGGACCTTTTCACGAATCACTGTGGTGAGTCCGACCGCCTGGTCAGTGGTTGAGCGTCGACCTATGAACCAGGTCCCGGTTCCATTCCTGGTCAGGACACAGGCCTGGGTTTCAGGTTGATCCCCAGGAGGGGGCGTGCAGGAGGCCGCCGACCAGTGATTCTCATCACTGATGTTTCTCTCTCCCTCTCCCTCTCCCTTCCTCTCTAAAATGAAAAAAATATATATATGTTTTTTAAAATGTCTCCTGGAAGAGAATAATTTTAAAAAATTAGTAAATAAAAAATAAAAATGTGGTAAAATAACTTGATCATGTTAACCATGTGTAAGTGTACCGTTCAGAGGCAGGAACTCCATCCACAATGCGGTCTGCTCACCCCCACTCCCACTTCCAGAACTTCTCACCCCTCCAAGCAGAAACTCTGCCCATGAAACAGTACGTCCCCATGTCCCCTCCCGTGGTCCCCGGCCACTTCTACTCCACTTGCTGTCTCTCTGGCTTTGTCTCTTCTAGATCTTTCCTCTGAGGGGAATGAGTCAGCATTTGTCCTTCTGTGTCTGGCTTCTTGCAGTCAGCATGATGTTTTCGAGGGCCGTCCACGTAGTGTGTGTCGGAATGCCATTCCTCTCGTGTTCCACGGCACGCAGACCCCGCATCTCGCTTATCCGCTCTTCGGATGAGGGACGCTGGCTGTTGCCACATCTTGGCCGTTGCGTGTGTGACCTTTGCATCTCCAGTCCACACTGGACACTGGCCACCGTCGGGCTCAGGACGGCGTGTGGCTGGCGAGTCCTCGTGGGAGAAGTCAGGGCAGAACTGGAGACGTCGAGGCCTCGCATTAGCGGAGGGGGTGGCTTTGGACCCCCCAGAAATAGCATAACACGGATACCATGGGGTGAGAAGGCCGGCCTTAAGCCCGCTGGAGCGGTGGAAGCACGCTCCCAGGGCGTGTGTGACGTCACCCCTCTCCATCCTCATCACGCCCGGGCGCACTCCTCTCCCCGCCAGCCCTTTGAAGGAGCGTGGCTGCCCGCATCCCAGGCTACAGGGCGCTCCGGCGCAGGTGAAAACTGCATGTGGCTAAAGCCCCGGGAACCGGGCTGGGAGGAGGTGGCCCAGACGTCCTGGCGACAGACACTCGAGAGCAGATGAAAGATTCCAGGGGAGGCGAGGCCGGGGAGCAGCCGTCAGGGGCCCGGGCGGCCGGCCTGGCAGCCATGCCCGTCCAGACCTGAAACATTAGCTGCAAATGAAACGGGGAAACTCGACCTCGCTCTCGTTCCCTCGCTCGCTCCCCTTTCTGTCGAGTTCTGTGCGGGCTCGGGTCGTAAATCTCGGGGAGCCTCATATTTCCCTGGAATCGCTCACTATTTGGTGTACGCATTTCCATGGTGCTCCTCGGGCAGGAAGGAGCCGGCGAGGTGGGCAGGCGGGGACGTGCCGAGGCCAGAGCCTCCGGGGCCCTGGGGACGCAGTGAGGGCCACCTAGAGCGCCAGGCCCTCGGAGCCCGCGCTGTGGCAGCGGCACGGAGCCCTCTGGCTCCCCCGAAAGCAAGCCGGGCCCCTCTCCCCGCTCCCCTCTCCGGGGCGGGGCAGGGGTGAAAGAAGCTTCCCAGACCCTTTGGACGAGAAGTTTCAGAACAACGGCCCCGAACGTGTAAATGAATCAGAAACACATGTATTACGTTTCTCATCAAAGTCCACGCGGCTTTGAAACACTAAAGGGGGGGCAGGGATTGGCGGCGCGCCCGCCCCGTTTTTCCAGCCCTCTGGTGTCGGAAGACCTGTCAGAGGGACCTGCCAAGCCCCAAACACTGCTCGTTCCCCATCCTCAGCAAAAGCACCGGCTACAGTTTCAAAGTGAAGCCCACAAACCCCGCGAACCGAAGGCCAGGTTATGCTGAGGTCAGCTGGGTCTGGGATTCTCGGGGTGGGGGCCCCCCTGGGGACTTGGGGCGGCTGGGCTTCCGGCCAAGCCCTCTTGGGGGCCCGGGTCTGAGTGTCAGAGCTGCCATCTCCCACCTCGTGGGCCATTCTGCTGACCCCCAGCGCCGGGCCAGCCCCTCTGTCCCCGGGCTGACCGCCCGGCCGCAGACGGAGGACCAGTGATGGGAAGAATTCTCCAGCGCGGGTCGGCCCCTCATGAGCAGCTCCCATCAGGGAGTTTAGAGCTCCCTGGCGCTCAGCAGGGGACCCCAGTCTCCTGAGGGGAGAGGGAGTCTTCCCCCCGGTCAGCGCTTGTCCTTCCTCTTTCCTCCCCCCTCACCAGGGGCATGGCCCCCACACCCTAACAAGAGGGACACTGGCTTTCAAGGAAGCCCACGCCCGAGCCCCGCCCTGGCCCCCGTCTCTCCGCACCCTCCTCTGTGCAGCCCTGTGTCTGCCAGAGGCGCAGGGCTGTGTGGGCCCTGAGTCCCCCCTCGGGGAGACTGCTGCTTCCCTCGCGTAAAGAGCTCACCAGGTCTCGGAGGTGGGGGGCGGGGGGCGGGGTGAATGGTCAAAGACAAACCAGGAGACACACAGGGAGAACCCAGCGGAATCCTCCCGCGAGTCTAGAATAAGGCGCGTGGACAGCGTGTTCTCTGTCCACTCGAGAAGGGACTTGGCATCTGGAAGGAACGCCTCCTTCACTCCTGCTTCTGCCCACGTGGGCCGGAATCTCGGGCAGCCCCGACTCCTGTCCCCAGGGGCCTGGCCCCCACCGCAGGGAAACAGCACTGGTCGGCCCTCCGCCCTCAGCCCTCACAGGAGGTGCCACATCCTCCTCAGAGCTGCCCTCACCCCTGGCCTGAGCTCCTGGGAGACCATGACTGTCCCACAGGCCTCGTCATCTCTCCACCTGAGTGGTCCCAGGTGCGTCAGCGATGGACTAGACTAATCTGGGTCCCCACCTCCTACCCCAAACCAGGTGCGTTTGTTCTTCTTCAATAAATGGTTAAAATGATCCATTTTATGTTCGGTGTCTTTTACCACAAAAGTGAGAAGAATCAGTAAATCCTCGTCCCCGGTGAACAGGAAACAGATAGCAAGAGACGTCCTTTCTCTGAGCGAGCTGACCACGTCCACGAAGGTCAGGTGCGACCCCTGAGCACTCCCCCTGCCAGCAGGGTCCCTTCCAGGAGGCGGAGGCCCGGCTCACCTGCTGGTGCATCGGGCTTGTCCCTTTCCAAATGCTCACACCTGTTCCCTAACGTCATCTTTCCCAGCGGCCCTGTGGGGCCTGTTTTGTGTTTTCTTTATAGATAAGAAACCAGAAGCCCAAAGAGGCCTCACAGCCCCGGGGACACCAAGGCCTCTAGCACAGACCTCCCTCCGGAGCAGGCTGGCCCCTCGGTCACCACACCCCACAGCCCCTGGCCCTTCCTCGCTCGCTCTCTCCAGGTCTCGGGGGAGGCAGGGACAGTGGGAGAGAGCTTCAGACAGGGCACCGGCCTAGCTGAGGTCAGTGTCCCCCCAGGCAAGGCCGCCCATCCGCTCCCGCCTCTGCCCTGCGGTGGCCTCATGGCTCACGGGGCTCCGTGCAGCCCGGGTGGGAGGGCCGCCCCTCCACACACTGCCTGTGGGACCTGCAGGTTAACAGGTCCTCCCGCCTGAGGGCGACACAGGCAGAACCCTGCCCTGCGGGCCTTGGAGAAGGAAGTCTCCAGGCCCGGCCCAGGGATGACGATGAGGGCAGGTGACGATGGGAATGAGGTCTGATTGCCTGGAGCTGAGGGAGCCGCTGCACCTGCGTGCTGAGGCGGCTGTTAGTTCTTTCCCCTCCTGCCTCGGTTTCTCTAGATCCCTTCCCGACTCAGTCTGAGCCTGGCTCGTTCCCTGTCCCATCTGGCTTAAGGGTGTCACCTTCAGGGGCCGGCCCTCTCAGGGCCTTGGGACCCCCCGCGGCTGCCACTCACCTGGAGTCCAGGAAGATGAGCTTCAGGTCGAGGCTGGCCCGGAACATGAACATGTTGCTGTGCAGCTTGACCTCGGTGACGGCGCTGGGCGGCAGCGACTGGCCCACGGCCACCAGCCCCACGACCTGGTAGCAGGACTCGTACAGGGACATGTCCAGCATGTACTGCCTGATCTTCAAGTAGCCGCTGCAGTGGATGACCTGGGGGAGAGGGCGGGTCAGCCCGGCAGCCCAGGGCGACGGGTGCCCGCCTCCCGGCCCGCCCGCTGCCCCGTCTCTCCAGCGCGCAGCCGGTCCCCCAGCCCGGCCTCCGGGAGGAACGGAACAATATCAGAATAACACACAGGGGCCTCTCCCCTCGCTACTGTGGAAGCCACGGCTCTCTAAGAGGGGTGAGCGGCAGGACAGGGCACTCGGGGGTGAGCCTTGGTTCCGTAACCTTCACGCCAGCAGCTGGAAAGCTTCTGTTCTGATGGGACTGGATTCCACATGCTAACCTGACATTGATATCACTTGACAAGCTACGTCACTCAGGAAACTCAGAATACTTCCAGTAGAATGGGGGGAAGCTTCATGGAAAACATGCTTTATTTATAATTCAAGATTTTATCCCCTTGTAATAAGCAAAAGCCAGAGTGACTATAGAGAAACGCGTGTAATAGCTGTAGCCAAACACCACACAGGAGAACGCGTGAGTGTCCGAAGGTCACGCAGCTCCGCTCACGCAGCCTTGGGCCTCGACACTGGATTGATTATGCGAGCTCCATCAGTAACATCCCGTAAGGGCAGGGAGGAGCCCTTCCAGAAGCCTCCCTCCAGGATCCCGAATGTATTCCCGTCCTCACAGCTGGAGCGAACCTTTAAATCCTTCTAGTCTATTCTCCCATTCACTGATACGGAAACTGAGGGCAGGTAGGCGGTGTGTTTTGCTGAAGATTGGACGGTTAATAAGTGGCAGAAACAAGCCAAGACCCAGAGTCCAGAAGAATGCCTGTGGGTGCAGGACCGTGCTGGGGGTTCCCCACGCCTGGGCCAAAGAGGCTTCGAGTCCGGGACAGCAACTAAGAAACGTACCCTCCAAACTACAAAACAGAGTGAGGTCAAGTCAATGCCAAGAGCTCCGAGTGCGGCTCCCAGGAGGGGCCCGAGGGGAGGGCTCAGGGGGAGGCAGACCCGGGGTGGGAGCACTGCACGGCTCCTCAGGGGACCTGCTCCCGGATCCCGGAGTCAGCTGGAGGGTGGGCACGTCAGGCAGAGAAAGGGGCCAGGGCGGGGACGGAGCGGGGGGGGGGGGGGTGGGGGGCTGGGCTCCAGGGCCAGCTCTGCCGCTGACCTGCCTGCCTCCGGGTTGGCGGGTGGTGTCCTTGGTGGTCTTGAAGCAGAAAGGCTCCCTCCCAGGGCTGCTACGCGGTTAGATTACCTGCTAGACCAGTGGTTCTCAACCTTCTGGCCTTTAAGTACAGTTCCTCATGTTGTGACCCAACCATAAATTTATTTTCGTTGCTACTTCATAACTGTAATGTTGCTACTGTTATGAATCGTCATGTAAATATCTGATATGTAGGATGGTCTTAGGCGACCCCTGTGAAAGGGTCGTTCGACCGCCAAAGGGGTCACGACCCACAGGTTGAGAACCGCTGCACTAGACTCACTAACGGTTACAGGAGGAGACACTGTGAAGGAAGCTCTGCTCTGCACTCTGAGTGGCTGCCCTGTCGCTGTTTGCGCAGCACTGTCCTCACCGCCGGGCGTGGCCAACCTCTGGAGGACAAGGACATTTCTGGGCTCTGAATGCCCTGCGGCCCGGGACCCGGCCTGGACCACGCAGGTTCCGTTAGCTCAGGCAGACCGACCGTGTGCAGAGCAACCTCAGGTGCCAGGGTAGGTCCGCCCTGAACCATGTGCCCTCCTGGCCCCCGGGACGAACGGTGTCGAGACGCCGGCTCTCACCCTACCCTCGGAGCGGCGTCACTGCCGTGTGCAGGCCTGGGTCCCGTGCCCTCCTGTCTGCACGTGTTCTCGGTGTGAAGCAAAATACAGAACATTCCAGACCCAGGCCCTCCTGCACCTCCCACGGGCGCCTCGTACCTTGTATCCGCTGCAGGTCAGGCCCGCGTTCCTCTTCGCCAGGACGCACTTCATGCGGAGGAAGAAGGACCGCTCTATCTCGTACTCTGAAAGCAGGAGCCGGGTCAGATGGCCAGCTGCCCCCCCTACCCCCACCGTCACCCCAACAACGTCCATCACCCGCAGGACCCAGCCAGGGGCCTCGTCCCAGCAGCCCAGATGCCAGCCCGGAGAGACCTGCCTGTGGCCAGGCCTGGGTGGGGAGGGGGCTGGGGCGATGTGGACGCCGTGGTCGGCAAACTGCGGCTCGAGAGCCACATGTGGCTCTTTGGCCCCTTGAGTGTGGCTCTTCCTAAACCTTAGGAGTACCCTAATTAAGTTAATAACAATGTACCTACCCATATAGTTTAAGTTTAAAAAATGTGGCTCTCAAAAGAATTTCAATCGTTGTACTGTTGATATTTGGCTCTGTTAACTAATGAGTTTGCCGACCACTGGACTAGGGGGTGCAGTCCTGGGTGGGGTGGGGGCGGGGGAGGCTGGGAACTGGGCAGTGGGGACTGGGGGGGTGGAGTCCCGGGTGGGGTGGGAGCTGGTGGGGTGGGGACCAGGTGGGGTGGGGACTGGGTGGGGTGGGGACCAGGTGGGGTGGGGACTGGGTGGGGTGGGGATCAGGTGGGGTGGGGACCAGGTGGGGTGGGGACTGGGTGGGGTGCAGAGCCGATCCCATCCAGCCTGGCTTCCACGGGCCCTGGGAAAAGATGGCTGGAAACACAGCCACAGCAAGAACTTGGGACAGGCCAGCCTGGGGACACGTGAGGACCGTCCAGGCAGGGCCCGGGTGGCACCACAGAGGCCTGGTGCCAGGAGAGTTGACCTGCCCTGGGGCAGGTGCCTGGGCCTGCGAGGCCTTTGACCCCCTGGGGCAGCAGATACGAGTGCAGCCCTTTCCCCAGTGCAGCCGAGGGAGCCAGCCCCTGGGCACCTCCCGCCAGCCGTGCCCCTTCCTGCCAGCCAGCTGTGCCCCTGGGCTGAGACTGCCCGCAATGTGGAATGGGGGACAGGACCCAGCAGACCCGCTGGGCCAGGTTGAAGCTTTCGCCCTCACCCAGGGCCCTGGACGGACCTCCCTCCTGTCACTGTCCCCGCTGGACCACCACCTCCCTTCCGTTCTCCCGCAGGCCTCAGCACAACCTCTGCCCTCGCTGCCGCAAACCAGGCCCCCCGCCCCCCGGGGATGCCCTCTGCTCAGTGAGGGACCAGCATCCGGGCACCCATGCCCACCTGCCCTGCCCTGGGGGGAGGGACCAGCATCCGGGCACCCAGGCCCATGTGCCCTGCCCTGAGGGAGGGGACCAGCATCCGGGCACCCAGGCCCATGTGCCCTGCCCTGGGGGAGGGGACCAACTCTCCGGGCACCCAGGCCCATGTGCCCTGCCCTGGGGGAGGGGAGGTCACTCACTCTAAATACACAGCCCCCGGGAGTGGTTAATAAATTACTTTTTAAAGAAAGGTTACCCCTGGGATTGGGCGTGCAGCTTCCACCCCCCTCCCCCGAGGGCACGCCCGGTGCCGGTAAGGGGTTCGCCGGAGAGGCACCCCCAGGTGGAGAGGCTGCCACATTACCCAAGATCCTCTGCACCTGGGGGTCAGGGGTCTGAGGGTACAGCTTCCCTTTAACACGGCGCCCATCTGCCCCTTTGGTGGGGAGAGCCCTTTCTCACCCAATCACCATACACACGGGCCAGTTCCCACCCAGGAAAGCAAGTCTGCGGGGGACACGGGGGTGACAGTGAGCACAGTGAGCCGTAGCCCCTCACTGTGAGCCCCAATCCCACACTGTGAGCCCCAATCCCGCACTGTGAGCCCCAATCCCTCACTGTGAGCCCCAGTCCCTCACTGTGAGCCCCAATCCCCCACTGTGAGCCCCCATCCCCCACTGTGAGCCCCAATCCCTCACTGTGAGCCCCAATCCCTCACTGTGAGCCCAAATCCCGCACTGAGAGCCCCAATCCCTTACTGGGAGCCCCAACCCCTCACTGGGAGCCCCAATCCCCCACTGGGAGCCCCCATCCCCCCACTGTGAGCCCCAACCCCCTCACTAGGAGCCCCAAATTCCCACACTGTAGCCCCAAATCCCCGCACTGGGACCCCCAATCCCGCGA